CACTGTAGCCCAGCCCCGCTCCTTCCTGGCTACCCCTAAGAGCTCCAGATTCCGAGGATTTCGGTTGGTGAACTCTGGGGCCACCGCTTCGTTTTCCTTAGTTGCCACATCGTGCTGAATCGCTGGTGTGGAACTGGTCGCGAGGGCTGCCAGCCCACACTCTAGGAAATGAAAACGACCACATGGATCTTTAAAATGACGAACACAGGCACGAAAGGGGCATGCTCTAACCATTCCCATCACGAGACCCAGAAGCGGGAAGAAATGGCCGTCTGACCACAAACCCATAACGTTCTAACGCCACCCCGGTGTGGTTGTGCGTTCACTTTCCCACGCGGAACCGCGGGTGCCAAATCGGATTTGCAAATTCCCGTGTCCTGTGCACCAGGGCACAGCCAATTCAGCGGGGCGAGATTAGTTACCCAAGTTCCTGCAAACAGACAGGCATTTCCAGAACCGAGGCTGAAGCGCCATCGCTGACGGTCGGAGGCAAAGCCTCCCGGCGCCCTGCCTCCCTTCACTCACGGTCGTCCGAGAGGAGGACTAGCCGCAGCCATTTTAACTGAGGGAAAAGCTACAGATGCCGGCAGGCCCTCGGGGCCTCCAGGACCCGGAACTAACAAGCCCCTTCGTGCTGAGTGGTCGGGAGAGCGATCGGTCTCTCCGGTCCGCCAATCGCCGCTGACGTCGGAGCGGGGGGCGGGACACGCTCCCGGGAGCCATTCCTGAGTCACGCGTGGGCCCAGGCTGTATTATGGGGGTCTGGTCCGCAGAGCTGCACAACACTTGGGGCGCACACGCTTCGGGGCTCTGGGAGAGCAGGGTGCACGGTTTTCTCAAAGAGCGGAAGCGCCTTGTCCGCTCCGGCCAGACCGGATCGAGTCTCAGCCGACTGGCCGAATGCCCCCGACATCTAAACATGGGGGGAGCTCAGACGAGAGCGCTCGACCCCCCAGCCCACCACACCCCAACTCAGCCCTACCAACTTTTCTAGAAAGTCCTAGGATGTACAAACGCGCAAGCGCAACCCTAACAAGCGCGCCACAGCCCTCCTTCCGCCCTGGCTTGGGTCCCCCACTTTCGCGCCTTTCTTTTCCAGCCTCTAATTGGACGAAAATTGTAGGTGCCCCGCCCTCCACTTCCGGCGTTTTCCGTTTTGCCCCTCTCTTTTTTCCCAGCGAGCCTCGCGGTTAGCGGAGAGTGCGCAGCGGGCGGGGCGTGTTACCCAGCAGCACGCGCGCGCGCCGCTCGGGCCTCTCCACGCTGTGGTCGCCGCCGTGGTGGCCGCCGTCCGGCCTCGGAGCGGAGATCCCGGCTGTGTGCGGTGTTAGAGAGGTCGGCCAGGCTCCCTGAAGATGGAGGGCCCTCTGTCCGTGTTCGGGGACCGCAGCACTGGGGAAGCGATCCGCTCCCAGAACGGTAAGGGCGAGGGAATCCGGGACCCGGTCCGCGGCGGCGCAGGCCGAGGCCCGATCGCGGTCGGTAGGCCGGGGCCACCCCCTGGGCACCGTGAAGTCCCCCGAGGACACCGGGCCTAGCGCAGCCCTCAACCGCGGGCCGTTTAGGCGCCCTGGCGCCCTTCCGTATAAGGGAAGAACGTTCGAGCACAGCACGCTTGGGGGGAGCGCCCGGGATGGGTGTGGGCGTCCACGCCCCGAGGAAGAGCAGCTCTGCACGGAAGGCGAGCTCAGACCTCCGCGCCTGCCACGCCCCACGCACGGCCCCTTTGTTCAGGTTCTTCCGGGTGGGAGCATCCCTGACACGACCCGTTTGGCCCACGAGGAAATATGCCTGCAGAATTTAGGTGGGCTTTGCGGGGCTACCCTCCGTCCGGGCGGGTGATTGCATGTCCAGATCTCGCAGTTGACAGCTGCACCCAGGAAAACCTAACGGAACGTAAAGCGAGTGTTAGGAAGCGGCACTGAGCTACCCGCGTCGCTGTTAGCTGTAGTACAAATTACACGTGCTTTGCTGTAGTTGAACCTGTTTTCGAAAGCATTTAGCGGCTTGGAATCGTGGTTATGTTTATTAATTTTGCTATTAAGTCGTCCCCCCCCCCCGAAACACGATCACTACCCAGACGAACTATCTACTATTCTTACTAAAACTTGCTAGAGTGAAGCAGGCTGAAGTGTCCCTTAGAGTTTTTATTGCGGGGATGGAGAGGTGGTTCAACGGTTAAAAACAGTGGCTGTTCTCCCAGAAGACTCGGGTTCAGTTCCCAGCGTAGGAGCTCACAACTGTTGGTAACTCTAGTTCCAGGAGATATGACACCTTCACACCAATGCACATAAACTAAATTCAAATCAATTATTTTTTTAAAAAAAAATTGCAATGAATAGTGGCAGGATTTTTGTACTTATTTTTTGAGGCATTGAACTTTTTGGAACTTTTGACATCAGTACTCAAAATAAAATATTTAACCTTCACTAGTTCTTAAATAGGTAATTTTGACTTTCAAAAAGAGTTAAGCATAGATTTGTAGATTTTGAGAAAACCATATGTGGTTGAGTGTCTCTTAGTTTGTGAGTTGATCTAATTTTTTTTTTTTTTATTTCACTGTTCCTCTACAGTTATGGCTGCAGCTTCTATTGCCAACATTGTTAAAAGTTCTCTTGGGCCAGTTGGTTTGGATAAAATGTTGGTGGATGATATTGGTGTAAGTATATCTTAACTGGTTTTGGTTACCTTGATAAAAATAGCTTTAATAAAACCTGGAAATTATTTTTTCTGTAAAGTCTTTGTTTTTACCTAAATATATTAAAGCTGAGTGTATGGCGTTGTGGAGCCTGGCTTCTGTGCTGACCTGCTTCCCTCATATTTCTCAGGATGTGACCATTACTAATGATGGGGCCACCATCCTGAAGTTACTGGAGGTAGAACATCCTGCAGCTAAAGTTCTTTGTGAGCTGGCTGACCTGCAGGACAAAGAAGTTGGAGATGGAACTACCTCAGTGGTGAGAGGCTCCCTGGGACTGCCTAGAGAACAGTCAGGAGAGTTGAACCCATGGCAGAATCTAGGTCAGAAATGAGTCAGGTGTTTACGGTTTCACAGACATCCGAAAACGAATCATTGTGATAGTTTGTACAGTCACAAAGTGTATACAGTTTAAGTAGG